ATTAGAAAGATGTCTATGGCAACACCGTGGGTCACGGACTGAAGGAAAGGACAACAGTCAAGAAGAGGTGGTAGTTAGGAGACAACAGTCTGAAAAGAGACTGTGAGGATCTGTGCTAGGGCTGAGCAGCTGAGACAAATAGGATGTCTGGACAGTCATAACTTACTTGACAGGTAACTAGATAACATGGTGAGGGTGTATGGGGAACCAAGAAGATCCCACTGCTCTGACACCCAGTGTGTCGATTAATTGAATTTATTCTGTTTCTCTCTCTTCTTAAGAATACTGTGGTGGTGGTGGTGGTTATGTGCCGTGGAGTCGGTTCAGACTCATAATGACCCTGTACAGGGTTTCCAAGGCTGTAAATCTTTAGGGGGGAGCAGAAAATCTCATCTTTCTCCTGCGAATTGCTGGTAGTTTTGAACTGCTGACCTTGAGGTCTGCAGCTACCAGAGCACCTTAAGAATACTGTATATATCTTAAATTTCTAGAGGAATGAACAAACCAGTCTTAGAAGAAATACAATCAGAGTGCCACTTAGAAATAAAGATGACAAGACTTTGGCTGGCTTACTTTGGATATATCACCAAGAAAGACCAACCGCTAATAAAGGTCATCATGTTTGGTAAAGTGAAAGTGAGGAAAGCCTTCAATGAGCTAGATTGACTCATTAGCCTCAGCAGTGGCCTCAGATAGACCACTGATGATGAGGATGTCATAGAACTGAGCTATGCTTTATTCTTTGATTTGAGGGGACTCTGGGAAAATTCCATTATCTTTTAATTCCATTTTTCCATGAGCTTTTAGAAGCCCCCTTGTACAGTAAAACCTGTGTTAAGAGATGGAAAACTCAAATACTTTTCATTTAGTACAGAGCAGAAAACTTGTGATTCCCAGAAAAACAAGGCAGTTTCCTGGAATACCAGCTCCTGTACATTTCAACCTGTATATAAGGTTGCTGTGAGTCAGAGTCAACTTGATGGAGCCATCAAGAATTCTGTTCTAACAACTGCACATGCAGAAACTCTTCTAAACAGAATCACCTGGAGCTCAGCCATAGTTCCAAAGTTAAAGGTCATAGTTTGCCCAGGTGTGTCTAAGACTTCAGACACTAATGCTAACTGCAAGATTGGGAATCCCCAGTGCATCCTCATTCAGACTGGCTGAATACAAATTTGGGGTTTTTGGCACAGTCCCGCAGGATTCCAGACATAAGCTCTGGATATCCAGCTAGAATGACGAACAGAACGCATGGAAAGCATTATATCTAAGGTTAAAATCTTATACTTAAAGAGTTTCTGTTAGTGTAGAAAACGGATTCAAGTAAAGAGGCAAATAGGGTAAGGGCTAAAGAAGGTTCCTAAAGAGGATCTTCCATGTCCCCCCAAATAACATGGTACCCAATCACATGCATCCATGTCTTTTATCAACCAGGAGACTTCTGAAGCTGGGATGTGAGAATTTCCTGATGTAGGCACTTCTGACTGAATTTACCTACTCCCCTGAGGCTGCACTCATATCACAAGGGAGTGTTTTCTGGCCTGGCCAAACTGCACCCAAGTAACTTCATTAACATAAACCCTCAGGTATGATCTAGAAGTCGCATCAGAACACTTCCATCGCTGATGAAATGCCAAGGTTTTAGAGGTTCTCTCTCAGAAGCCAAGGAAAACGGGCAAATTCTTTTGGTAAACTTAGCTACACTGTGAAAAATGATTATATTGGACTTTTATAAATTCAGCACCTAAGTGAAAGACGGTCACTACCATAGAGAACTAAAGAAAATAAACAGACTTGGTGAGGAAAAAAATATATATATATATTCATTTTGTGGTATGGTAAGTCTTAAGAGCTTACAAGACAATCAAGTATGAAAGACAAGAACAGTGATTCTCATCCAGGGACAATTTCCCACACCTTATCTCTATCCAGCATGACACTTTGGAAATGTTAGGAGCTCTTCTTATTTGTCATAACCAGGGTCATGCTAGTGGCATCTAGTTAGAGACAGAGATGCTACAAACATCCTATAATGCAAAGGACAGCCGACTCAATAGATAATTTATCCTACCTCAAATGGGAGCTCTGGTAGCTGTGAATCGGGTTGTGAACCGCAAGGTCAGCAGTTCGAAACTACCAGCCACTCCGTGGGAGAAAGATGAGGCTTTCTGCTCCCGTAAGGATTTACAGCCTTGGAAACCCTGTACAGGGTCACTATGGGTGGGAACCAACTCGACGGCACTTAACAACAACAACAAAATGCCAATATTGCAGAGATTGAAAAACTGTAGTCCATAGGTAGTAGGAACTTCAAATCTGGAGCTTTGGAAACTAGGCTTGGATAGAAATTGCAACTTCTAGCCACCCATACTGCACTAATAGCCAAGGGAGCTTCACAACTTCATGGAACATTTTCATGATGATTTAATCCTTTTTTCCCCCCATGAATTTATTAAAGCCAATAAAAGAGAAGGGAAAGGAAGGGAAATCCTTCAGTAATAACACACCATTGGTACAATGAGTCCATTGGGCTGGAATAATGTCAGAAGACACTTTCACATCCAACATGCAATGAGTCGATGTCTTTTCTAAGCAAGTGGGCACCCAAGAAGATAGACAACACTGGGGTAATAAATCATGGAGCAGATCAGTGCAGTTAAGACCTTTCAAGAAAAGACTTAACAGTTACGACAAGCATCAATAACAAGGAAATCCCAATACTTTCACACTGTCTATCTCGCTAGCCCTTGGTCATAGAACCACAGTGCTGTGACAAGAAAAGGAAAGCAAGGGTTGGGAAAGAAATAAGAAAGCGACATGAAACAGTGGAAATGACTTGAAAAGAAAACCAAAAAAAGCAAGGAAAGGAGAAAACAGAAAAGGAAAGCAAGAAAAAGTGTTAAGACATCCTTTTTAGGACTAGCAGAATACAGTGGGAGTGTCATTCTAAGGATCAAGTATGGCCATTCTTCATAATTTTATGAAACTCTAATATTGGAATCCTGGTGTAGCACTAGAGGATAAGCACTGGACTGCTAACCAAAAGATCAGTGGTTCAAACCCACCAGCTGCTCTTCGGAAATTCTATATACGGTCACTAATGAGCCAGAACGGACTTGATGGCACCGAACAGCAACAACAATATTGGAATATTTTACAGTAGCAAAACCTGCCATGAAGAGCACCATGGCAGCTACTCAAAAGCAATTGTAACACAAATGAAACATTAACAAACACCTTGTACAATGCTTCATCGCTTACATGAAGTTTACTGAAGCTCTGCTCCCGGAGGCTTGGTAAGAGTGGGGAATCCAGGAGCAGGGCAGGAGAGGAAAAAGTAAAGTGATGCTATGAAGTGAAGGAATGTTCCTAGAAGTAGCGTGGGCCATCTGGCAGCCTGGCACTTCTGAGTTCAGAAGCAACATAAGTTTGTAAGAAACAAGAAGATGGTTCTTTCCCATGCAAATTGTCATGCAGCCCACAAAGACAAGTTAAGTTACAAACAAGAGGCTACCACAGCAAACCAAAGGAGCTTCCACTGAACCTGAGAAATTGGGAAGAGCGTGTGCCCAAGACACAAGTGAATAGAATATGCCAGAGTCCAGAAAGCCATCTCTGCCTTTGGCTGGCTCTTGGCTTGCTGCATGTTGTAGGATGTCTCTGAGTCTTAGTGTCCTTTCTGATAAACATGACTGATAACATGCCTGCCTCCTAGGAGTGACATGAAGATGACACGAGATGACATATGTAAAGCATTCATCACAGATTTATAGGGCAGGACCTCCATTGTTGGAGTTATGATCAAAGAATCTTAATTCTACCGCTCTAAACAATGACTGAAAAAGAAAGAAAAATACTATTCACATCCCATTTTTAGAAACTCTTCACTTTCTAAAAGAAGTAACTAATTTATATGGCTACGTAGACCTGGCTGTGTGACTTTGGGAATTCTCTAGTCAAATTCCCGTAACTTAATGATGAGAAAATTAGGGAAGGAAATGAGAAGAGCACTGTGGTTTGGACATACATGAGCTCAGAAAAAGGTTTTAGTTAAGGGACGTTATTCATCATGTTTATATAAGACCAGATGAAAGTAGGATTAGAAGACTAGACTTCATAATGACAAAAAATCAAAAATAAAAGCTCCTCAGAAGATGTCTAGCCGGACTATACTTTGCTTTCTGTGAATTTGGATAACCCACATCACCCGATTTTATCTATTTATAAATTAAACATACAAGGTCGGTGGTTCAAACTCACTAGTCGCCCCTTGGAAATCCTACACAGGGTCAGAATGCAGTGGAACCGACTTGACAGCACTTAACAACAACAACAACAATAAAGTTGTATTCATTGCTGTGGTAATTTTGTATATTGACTAGGCTGTGATTCACAGTGGTTTGGCCAAACAGTGGTCTAGTTTAGTATTGTGAAGTAAGTACATGTGACTAAACCAGTTGGCCTTGGGTAAAGCAGATTACTTCCCATAATGCAAAGCAATACAATGCAATGTGATGGAATCACCTTTCATAATGTAGTCTGAACTAATGCGATGTAACTATTTTTGGCAGTGCGATCTATTATAGTCAGTCAATCTGTGGAGGTCCTAACAGTGCAGGTTGGGTTCTAAGCCACTTCTAAGTCATAAGACCAGAGTACACACAAACACTCACAAGTTCATAAAGGGAAAAACAGACCCCAAGGGAGGATAATCTATGAGCAAATGGATGCCAAGAATGATGGATGGTCAGACACCAGAATCTAGAAGAGAGGCTCAAAGAAGGAATCTACACAGCTTTTAGCCTCCAGAAGAGTGAAAGAGTAAATTTCCGATCTTTAAAGCCATTCTCTTGCAGTATGTGTGTTACAGCAGCAATACGTAAGTAAGACCACTGTATTAGAACTTCATTATGCAATGAAGTACTGAATCCCTGGCTTCAGTGAACAAACTGGTGATTATAAATGAAGTTCTTAATCCATGCAACATCCAGACCACTCACCTGTCCAGCAGCAAGTTAGGAGCAAACAGGAGCTTCCCTGGGTGCTCCATTGAGCGCCAGATGAGGCCGATCATCAGAATCTCTAGCCAGGCACATTCCAGCAGGTGGACTTGATCATGGAGTGTCAAATCCACAAAGCCTGAAACAAGAGAAGGAAGACCTTGCTGACTTTGAATGACTTATATTCATTATTGTTAAAGTTAATTCCAACAGGGACTTGAGCTGGCAGGGTCGATGTTTGATTACAGAGAAGAAAGTATAATCAAAGCACATTTTAAGGGGAAGTGAAATGACCTTTTCTTTTTTTCAAACTTAGTCATCAATGAATATTAATACAGCATTAAGTTTCTTACAGCCTTCATGTCACATTGACAGACAATACACTAATGTATGCAACTCACCTAGCTTTTTCTGACATTCCTACTTACACAGTGTTAAAACTTGTGTGCTTACTGTTTAGATATTTTTAATAAATCTATGAAGAAAACAAAGGCATCACTTGGAGGACCTAAGGGCGCTTGACGCAAGACTTGGTATTTTCAGTCGTTGCATATACATGTGAAAGCTGGATGATGAGTAAGAAAGAACACGCATTTGAATTCTAGTGTTGGCAAAGAATATCAAATATACCATGGAATGCCGGTAAAAATGAACAAATCTGTTTTGGAAGAAGTATGCCTTGATTGCTCCTTGGAAATAATGATGGCGAGACTTCGTCTCTTTTGCTTTGGACATGTGAGCAGGACCAGTCCTTGGAAAAGGACATCATGGTTGATAAAGTGGAAGGTCAGTGGACAAAAAGGGAAGACTCCCAATGAGATGGATTGACACAATGGCAGGAGCAGCAACAATGGGTTCAAATAAGACAGCAATTAGGATGGCATGGGAACAGGCAACTTTCCATTCTGTTGTACCCAGGATTGCTCTGGATTGGAACCAACTTGACAGCATCTACAACAATAACTCTACTGATAAAGTAGAAAGTTAGTGAAAACAGAGAATCCCTGCATGAGATGGATTGACATAATCATCACAACAATGGATACAAAGGTCTCATTTTATATAAGATGGCCTAGAACCAAGTAATAGAGCGTAGTAGTTAGGAGTGAGGCTGCTAACCTCAAGGTCAGCAGTTCAAAACCACTGGCCATTTTGTGGGAGAAAGATAAGGCTTTCTGCTCCCGTAAAGATGTACAGTCTCAGAAACCCTCAACATGGTTACTATTAGTCGGAACCAATGGCACAGGAGTCCTGGTGTGGCACTGTGGGTTAATGCACTGGACTGCAAAGTTGGTTTGAACCACAAGATTGACTGTTCAAGCTCACTAATTGCTCCTTGGAAACCCTATACAGGATTACTATGGGTTGGAACGGACTCGATGGCACTTAACAACAACAACAACAATACATAAGGCTGCCATGAGTCAGAGGTGACTCAACAGGAACTAAAAACAACAACAATAACCCTACTGACTATTATTATTCATTTTTATTTTCACTAAAGATTTTAAGGTACAAGATATTTAAATTTCTTATATTTCATTCACCATTAGGGAATAGAAGTGGAGGCAGGACTTAAATCACTAAATTTCTATCTCCTTGTTTAGTTACAGAGTTATGCTCTTGTTTCCATGCTATGTCAAAGAAAGACTAATGCATTATCATATGCAAACCACCTGGGGAGAATGAAAACATAAATAAAATGTGTTATAACTTCTGGGAATAACCACTAAAATGTGCTCTCCTTTTTTAAATGTTGATTAGGAGATGAAGGCTTTTTCAATGACCAATGAAAATATGGTTGTTGTTGTTGTTGTTAAGTGCCATTGAGTCATTTCTGATTCATAGTGACCCTGTAAATCTTTGTGGGAACAGAAAGCCTCATCTTTCTTTAGTGGACTCAAACCATAAACCTGTGGTTATCAGTCCAGTGTTAATTTTACACTATATTGCTCCTGGCAATATGGTAGATGTCTGATAACAATAATAATATAAGGAAAAGGAGAAGGAAGACTACTTTATTAAGTCTGTAATATAGGCTGGAAGCAATGCTGTGATTCCTATACAGAATTTATTTTCATCTTTATTCATACAATAACCCTATGAATGGAAACTGATAGCCCCATTTTATACACAAGGAAACAGATACTCATAATTTAGTTAGACATTTTTCATGATGATTAAGGTCAGAGAGAGGTCTACAACCTCTGGCTCCAATATGGCCTGGACTACAATTGACACCATATCATATGAACTCTAGTTATAGATGTTCAACAAGCGACCTAAAATATGCAAATAAGCAAATGAAGATTTGCTGAGTGACTGGGTCATTAAACAAAACGCCCACAAAGGGGACTGCTTTCCTCGTCAGCTGTGTTCTTTGTTCCTGATGTAACTCGTCACAGTCTATTTTCTTACTGTCTTCCTACTCTCAACCTTTCTTCCCCTCTCTTATCCAGGACAATGGCATGATCTAGAAAACTCATCTTTAAATGTTACCTTCCATCTCTTCTTTATATTCTCTCAAACAAAAATTATATATTTATTAGCTTTCTCTACTTGTCCAAGCTGCACTGAAGGCATTGGTGAAAAACAAGGCTCTAAGAATTGATGGACTACAAATGGAAATCTTTCAACAAAATGATATAGATAGCACTGGAGGCTCACTCATCTATGCCAAGAAATTTGGAAGACAGCGGCCTGACCAACTAATTGGAAGAAATTCATATATGGACCCATTCCAAAGAAAGGTGACGCAACAGAATGCAGAAATCATCAAACAATATCATTGGTATTACACACAAGTAAAATTTTTCTAAGATAATATAAAAATGGCTACAACAGTACATTGACAGGGAACAGTCAGAAATTCAAGCTGGATTTATAAGGAGACATGGAATGAGGGAGATCATTGCTGACGTCAGATGGATATTGACTAAAAGCAGAGAATCCCAGGAATACGTTTAATTGTATTTAATTGATTAGGCAAAGGCTTTTGACTCTGTGGATCATACCACGAGATCATGAGAGAACGTGAAGAAGGGATGGAAGGTAATATTTATAGATGGGTTTACTAGAGCATGCCAAGGATAACATTGTGAAGAACCATTATTCAGAACACTTAATGGTGCTCACGAGGAGCCAGTCCATAGACCAAGAGGCAGTCATTCGAACAGAACAAGGGAATACTGAGTGGTGTAAAATCAGGAAGGCTGTGTGCCAGGGCTGTATTTTTTCACTATAGTTATTCAATCTGAATTTTTATTATGTTGCTAAGGGCTGTCAACTTGATTCTGACTCATAGAGACCCCATATAGGGTTTCTGAGGTTTTAAATCTTTGATGGAACAGAAAAATCTCATCTTTCTCCTGAATGACAACAACAACATTCAACATGTATGCCAAGCAAATACTGTGGGGTGTTGCACTGGGCTGCAAGGTCAGTTTGAACTGCAAGGTAGGTGGTTCAAGCTCACCAGCCACTATCTGGAAACCCTATACAGGGTCACTATGAGTTGGAACCGACTAGATGACACGTAACAACAACAACCACATATGAAGAAAGACACGGCATCAGAATTGGAGGGAGACTCATTAACAACCTGTGATATGAAGATGATACAATTTTGCTGGCTGGAAGACGACTGAAAATACTTATTGATGAAGATCAAAGACCTTCAGTATGGATTGCACCTCAGTATAAAGAAAACAAAGATCCTAACAATTAGACCAGTAAATAACATCATGATAAATGGAGAAAAGATTGAAGTTGTCAAAGACTTCATATTGCTTGGATCCACAATCAGTGCTCATGGAAGCAGCAGTCAAGAGATCAGATGATGTATTGCAGTAGGCAAATCTGCTGCACAAGACCTCTTTAAAGTGTTACAGAGCAAAGAAGTCCATTTGAGGACTATTTTCAATCGTCTCATATGCATATTAAAATTGGACAATGAATAAGGAAGACCATAGAAAACTGATGCATTTGTTGGAAAAGATGATTGAATATAATGGACTGCCAGAAGAACAGACAAATCTATATGAGAAGCCAGGATGATGAGGCTTCATCTCTCATATTTCAGACACGTTATCAGGAGCGACCAGTCCCTGGAGAAGGACCTATGCTTGGAAAAGTGGAGGGTCAATGAAAAAGAGGACGCCCTCCAATGAGATGCAGTGGCACAGTGGCAGCAGCAATGGGCTCAGGTGTAACCACAGTGAGATGAGGGAGGACCAGGCAGTGTTTCATTCTGTTGTGCATAGGGTCTCTGAATCGGAACTGTCATAATGGTGCCTAACAACAACTTGCCTTTATTTAAAAAGGCAATATGTAAGCTTATTTCCTGAGCAATCAAGTATTCATGGTTTATCTAATGGATGCTGTTTCTACTTGGATATCTTGGAAGCATCACAGATTCAACATAAAACTATTAATTCAGTGTTTCTTATATGCTTAATCTCCGTGTTTCATGTAATTCCTAGCTCTAAACAGGTTAGGAGTCACATAGAGATGCTCAAGCAAGACCTCGGGGTCTAAGTCTAAGTCTCAAATTCTTCTCAAAGATAGAATTGACCAAACCTGATTTTGGGAGAGTGGGAAAGAGTTTTATGTTCTTATTGTTAGGTGGCATCAAGTTGGTTCTTACTTCACATGACTCTATGTACAACAGAACAAAGCACTGCCAGGTTCTGTGCCATTCTCACCATCGTTCCTATGTTTGAGCCCATTGTTGCAGCCAATTGATCCATCTTGTTGAAGGTATGCCTCTTTTTGTACTGACTTTCTACTAAACTCACCAGCCACTCCTTGGGTTATTATTAATTCAGAATTGAATCCACGGCACTTAACAACAACTAGACCCTACTAGAGTTACTTGCTGTTGTCGTAGTTGTTGTTAAGTGCCGTTGAATCAGCTCCTACTCAAAGCGATCCTGTATAGGGTTTCTGAGGAGTGACTGGTGAGTTTGAACCATTGACCTTGTGGTTCAAACCAACCTTGTGGTCCAGTGCTTATATTACAGCCTTACACCTACCAGGTGTTGCTATAATAGAAATACCACAAGTGAGTGACTTTAACAAACAGAAATTGATTTTCTCAGTTTAGAAAGCTTGACGTCTGAATTTAGGACAGCCGCTGTA